TTTGGGGGTTTAGGGGTTTAGGGATGGGTGTAGGGCTTAGGGTTTCAAGCCGGTCGTCTAGCTGCATGCCGTACTGTAAGCAGATTCAGGTCAGAATGGAGCCATGTGCAGATTTATTCTAGTAAAAGAGGGACTAATTAATGTCCAATACTATTTTTGGGAGGGCTCCGTATTATGACTTTCGTATAAGATACCCTAGAACCTTAGTCTAATTATTAAGACTCCTACATTACGTTCTTTCTGTGCGCAGCACTGAGACCGCTAAGGCCGTTCAGCGGCTGAACATGGTCACGGTGGATTCGGCGTCAGAGAAGCTTAGATAGCTTTTGGGAGAGCTCTAAATTTTTTAGCCTTATATATTAGGTCTATCCTACAAGTTTGAACTTTTTTGGGCCTGGTTGTTCAAGAAGAGAGGAAGAGGAAGCGCCAGCTGGCATTCAAGATTGCAAATCCGGCCTCGTGGCACAAGCAGAATTTGGAGCCTCGGCTGGACTTGAACCCTACGCCGAAAATGCCCTCCCGAAACCTAAACCCTAAACCCTAAACCCTACATATCCTAAACCCTAAACCCCAAACCCTCTACATCCCTGTACTTCCCCTCATGCCCTAGGCCCGAATCCCTATGCAGTCTCTAAGGTTTTCAGGAACCTGCTGAAGAAAGTCCCTGGTTCTTGTTAGGGCGATGAAATACCAGGGTTTCTTTGATTCCTGAAGCCTAAACCCAAACCGCTGAAACATGGATCCTACCATCTTGGCGATCTCGAAAGTTCCTAAACCCTTAGCCCTGAAATATGAAGTCTGAGAGACTGCAAGCCCATAACACTCCGGAATCATGGGCTCGAGCTCCTTAAAGCCCTATCCATCCCTCCCCCTCAAAATCAGAGCCCCAAGCTGCAGAACTCTGATCGATTCTGACCGAGCCCTTATGGAACCCTAAACCCTCAACCCTAAATCCTCAACCCATAAACCATAAACCCGAAACAACTCCCAGAATCCCGAAAGTCCCGAAAGCTCCCAGGAGAAAGCTGAACGCGAGAAGGCCTGGAATAGCGAGGCCGCCGTGCGCTTGGTGGTTCCGCTTGGGGGTTGGGTTTAGGGTTCGGGGTTTTCGGG